TTACAGAAAAGGAGGTACGTTACACTTATGCACCCCCCCCCCCTCCCCCGTCCTAGTTCCTTGAGAATGCCACATATAACAACCGAGGGTACTCAAATTTCTCGTTGTGGAAAAGTTTTTAATGCACCTCCAAACATACTAGTATAAGTATGTGTTTACAGTATTGACATCTGTGTATAAAGACCACTTGTTTATAACCACTGTTTTTCTGTGCACAGTGGGATGGTCAGTAAACACAGGCTTTCGTGTGTGTGTGTGTGTGTGTGTGTGTGTGTGTGTGTGTGTGTGTGTGCGTGCGTGCGTGCGTGAAAACAAATGAGGCGAGTATGCTAGAAAGCTGTTGCAAAGCTGTTGCAGTGGCTGTTGGTTGTAGCTGGTGATGAGTGCTCGTGTTTTCTCGGTTCTAGAAGATACTAGTAGTGTGTGTGTGTGCGTGCGTGCGTGTGTGTGTGTGTGTGTGTGTGCGCGCGTGCGCGCGCGTGCGTGTGTAATAAAAAAGACCAAAAAGTAGGGATTCACTGGCCAGAAAAAAAGCCACTTCATAGCTGTGTGGTGTGGACCAGGCTGAATAGTGGCGGTCAATTCTTCAACCTTGCAAGCTGTTGAATGGTGCAATTCCAGCACAAGTTGCTATCATACGGGCTTCTGCTGTAGCATCGCTATGATCGCCTCCGGCGATGGGCGTCCAATGGTCCAATGGTGTGTGTGTGTGAGTGTGTGTGTGTGTATGTGTGTGTGTGTGTGTGTGTGTGTGTGTGTGTGTGTGTGTGTGTGTGTGTGTGTGTATGTGTGTGTGTGTGTAGTAGAACAATTCTGTGTAAAGTACTAGTACCCTGTGGATACCCTGATTCATACTTCATGATTTCACATGACTTTTGACTGGTGTTGTGAGTAAACATGTTCTCAAGTACCCTGGATATAACGTACTGTTCTCAAGTACCCTGGATATAACGTAATCCGCTCTCAAGTACCCTGGATATAACGTACTGAGTTCCACCAGGGGCTATACTACACTTGAAACACGTCAGGTCCGGAGTCAGCTCCTGAGAGGTAGTTTGGCCCCAGGTCAGCTACAGGGCCGACCATTAATCTATGCTCAGTTGCAGTCTCACGGGGGGGGGGGGGGATGAACCTCTAGCTCTATGCTACATTGCATCTGGCTGACTTGGCCAACAGATATACAGCCAGTATATCAGACAAATCCAACCTCATGAATAAAGCAGCACCGCGTTCGAGTGCACAGACCAGTATGTGTAGTGCTAGGGCTGCGTAGCGCCCGGCTCGTCTTTATTCATGACGTTGGATTTCTTTGGTCAGCACTGTAGTACGAAGTAGAGGTTGCGACTTCGGCGATGATTTTGTTTAGGAATGGGTTTGCACTAGGAGTGAAAGTTGGCACTGAGATCCCGAGTTCGAGTACTCTGATTTTCTCCGATCGAATATTCGAGTATTCGAGTATTCTTGATATCCTAAAAATCGCACACCAACCGCCTCAAAAATCACATGATACAACCCTAATTGAACCGATAGGTAGTTCTTTTCTCGGGTGTTTTGGTTGGTGGGTCATTTGGGCTCTCTCTACTCGTGTACAAATGTTTACCACACAGTCTGCACATCAATATCTGCTGACTGCTGCTCTGAAACTGCAGACTTCTGTGGTAAATGTATGTACCATGTATGAGCGAGTACTCTGATTTATTCCGAGTACGATTATATTTGAAAAATCCAAACGAGTATTCGAATATTCGGTATAATTGTTTCACCCCTAGTTTGCACTGTAGTAGTCCAGATATATTGCTAGTAGTAGTAGTACAGCACTCCACACTGGACAAGAACAGTTTAGGAGTGAAAGACTCTACGAAAGAAAAAAGCACTTTTTTGAAGACCCTGTATATCCCTTTCCAGTCATTCGACTTTGGATATAAAGTACAGATTTGGATACCAAGTACGTCGGCTATAAAGTACAGATTAAAGAGTAGTACTTCGAAGTACTTCTGAAATACTTATGCTATTGAGTATTGTTTGCGGACAGTGAAACCTGTCTAAGGCGACCGCTCAAGGGACCTTCAAAACGTGGTCTTTGTGTTACCAGGTCACTGGTGGTCTCCTTATCGAGGGTCACTTGACTGGAAATAGCATCGATTGGTCCTGGTGTCAGTGGTCCTTCAGGACAGGTGGTCGCCTTATCCGAGTGGTCGCCTTGTACTAGTAGTACTTTGATAGGTAGGGAGCTTTTCAAACTGTTAGGTCCTGCACCGCTGGCCTAAGCCTACTGTACCATAATAATGATACGGTAATCCGTATTACAATGTAGATAAGCCTTGCAAGGTTGGTTGAAAACATGATGTTGTCGTCAGCCTTTGACTATGCTGTCAAGCAAACAACACAGTCATAATAAGACATGATGTAGGATCAAAATCACTGCCCGGAAACGCGATCATCGACACCAGTCACACCACTTCCACCCATATCCTGCAGCTAAGCCTTGGACGAGAGTGCTCCACTACCATGACTACTGAGTAGATCTACTGAGTCTGTACATCCCACATGACACCTCGCGACTCTCGTGTCACAACTAACTAATACTTTGGAAGTAAAGAAGTACTGCCGGTACTTGTTTTAGTTTGTTATTTTTAGCAACGACGTTACGTACCTGATCTGGTGGTGTCCGGTGCAATGTCCAGTCACTCCTATCACTCCGCAGCCAACGACCTGCTCAGTGCCACGCGACAACAACACACTAGTAGTACTACCGAAGCGCGAAATCAAAACTATCCCAAACCTCGTCTTTGCCTAGAACTCGAAAACAGGGCCCAGGAACTGTACAATGTCAATGAGCTGCCGGAGCACACCAATGCGAACTCTATCAAGTAATGTCTTGTTGTAGTTACATTGTACTTCAAGTGATAGTTGAAAGTGGCTTGACTGGATCTGTAGCAGGCAGGTGCTGAAGCTGTCGCAAATGCGAAGCTAGCTACCGCCCGCGCCGTACATGCATAGCGACTACAAAACCAAAAATAATTGAAACGTAAACGTAAAATTTAATGTAATTGTGTGCACTGACACTGACAGCTGCAGACATGTCGACGAGTGTACTTGAGACCGGGTACTGTGCTATACTAGTACGATCGAGCTCGTACGTAGTCGTAGTATTATGTAGCCTTCGCTTTCGCCGCTTCGGTCATAGATCACCTTTTACTTGATGACATGCACAGTACATCACCAGATCAGATCCCTGTTACTACTAGTACTGTCGTGGACATGGAAATCCGGTCGCTCGTCTAGCGGCCCCAGGGCGCTGGCCATGCAGCCGTTGGTAAGCAGTACACGCATGCAGTATGCACTGCTGGTCCCATCGGATCAACAATCATGATTGTGCACTGCATGCAGCGTTCTGAGGCGCCGCCCCCGGTCAATCGACTGGATTTCCATGTCCGCGACAGTAGTATTATCGCACCCCACGTGAGTGTCTCCATGGTTTGAGCCAATCAGCGGCCTTACTGAGCGTGCAATATTCCCCAGTACACCGCCAGCCAATGTGGATGCACTGCAGTGCGATATTGCACCCCGGCGAGTGAGCGTGCAAATAACCTATATTTGCACGCTCACTTCGAAGTGAGCGTGCAAATATAGGTTATTTGCACGCTCACTTCGAAGCGAGCGTGCAAATATAGGTTATTTGCACGCTCGCTTCGAAGTGAGCGTGCAGATATACTCATATAGGTTATTTGCACGCTCACTCGCCGGGGTGCAATATCGCACTGCAGTGCATCCACATAATTGTCCTCTGGTCATTGGCTGGCGGTGTACTGGGGAATATTGCGAGTCGCTCCGCCAAGCAGTCGCTGCTGACTTGCTGCAGCACACCAAATAATAATTGGTCGAGGACGCTGTCGCGGAAGCGAATGTGGACCCGGCTTGCGTCACTTCACAAGCTCCGTGAGAGTCGAGACAGCAGACGCCCAAGTATTGGAGAAGACTGTCGACAGCCGATTTGAGAAACTGTCCGACGCCGCCATCGACAGCCTCGTTTCTGAGCAGAAAAACAAAAACACAGAGCAGGCAACTGACAAATGGCTCCGCTTATTCGACGAGTACTGTAAAGACACAGGACGTCGCTGTGACCTGAGTACGGTTACGGCAAGCGACCTAGCTTACATTCTGCGACATGCATACGTCGAATTCCGTCCGAAGAAAGCTGGAGTGAAGTTCTACTCTGCATCAAGCTTGCTCGGTTTCCGTTCCGCAATACATCGCAAGCTAGTCGAGTTGAAGCGGCTCATGAACGTCCACAGTGACCCAGCGTTCAAGGACGCAAACATTGCATTGAAGGCTTTCCTCCTGAAGTCAAAGAAAGCGGGGAGAAGTCAAAGCGGTGGAGCACAAACACCCCATCAACGACGACGACATGAGCAAGCTGTCCCGCTACTTCCATGATCTCTCGGGAGTGTATACAGCAGCTGCTCGAAAGTAGTGTTCCTCTAAAAATGAACGCGACTGGTTGTGCTGTGTTGTATGACTGTGAAATAATAGCAGGGTTGCATGCAGCATGCTAGGGTTGCACCAGACCGTGTCAAGTCACACACACAAGTGTGTGGTGACAGACTGTGTGGTGGCAGGGGTGCGATAAATGTATTACTGCACTCGGACGCGTGCAATACCGGCGTCGATATCTGCACTTACGGCTTCGCCGTTCGTGCAGATATCGGCCGGTATTGCACTGGTCCTTGTGCAGTAATACATACGTATCAGTCGGATCGTGGACGGAGTGCCAGACTACAAAAAAACTAATTTTGATACGATTTTAAAAAGTGCAGCACGCGAGGAGCAACACCTAGTAGTATAGTACCTACTGACTGTTGTAGCATGTAGTGTACACATGTAGAGGCGCCTCTACTACTACAGTAGATATTGGTTATAACGTGCCCTTCTGATTTTTCACATTTTATCACTATAACCGGTATATCACTACAGGCGATTTTCAACTGCGCGCGTCATACATACACATTATACACGTGTGGGTACTCGATCGTGCTAATGTAGCGTACTGATACGTGATGGATGCTACTGCACCTTCTCCAGTCTAGAGTGAAGAACTTCTTGGCCCAAAGGCATCATCCAGGAAGCACCAGACCAGAATACCCTATGACAACACACATGTGGCTCCAAGTCGAGACATCAATGCCTCACACTCGTGTGTTGCTATCACTATAGACGATAATTTTTCTGCACAAAGAGGTGTTTTGAATGGTGATTCTGTATCCTTATAGCCGATTTATCGCTATATACGATATATTGGTTATAATGATAATTTGACTGGCTTTTTCTGGTTTTGCTTTTGATATTTTCATTTTGTATCAATATAGCCGGTTTATCACTATGTCCGATGACTTTATAACCGATATCCACTGTACTAGTACTAGTACTAGAACTAGGCTCTAGACGTCTAGTCTATGACCAGCCTCGAGGCGCCCCTGCCAGGCCCAGGCCAGGGGACTCCTTCTGAACTGAGCCAGAGGGAGACCCACTACAGTCTAGACTAGACTGTAGTGTAGAGAATTCTAGAATGATCGTGTGTTGCTCTCGCGTACTGCGTTCCGACCACGATCCAATGAAAGCCGAGCACGGGAGGAAATTTATCTAGTACTAGAGAAGATGAGCTCCCTCCCAGGTGTAGTTACATGAAGCTATTAAATGGGCCACTAATAATAGTAATAACTGGCACAAACAGTTGAAGCAGGAATCAATCTACACGTCATGGTTACGTGGATTGCTCATCACATGCTTCAAAAATGGCTGACATGCGGGTACATGTATCAACACATCAGGCTGTGTCACTTTCTCTCCCATCCTCCCTTTCTCCCTCACCCTCACTCTCTGAGAGTCCCTCCCTCTCACTCTCTCCCTCCCTCTCTCTCTCTCTCTCTCTCTCTCTCTCTCTCTCTCTCTCTCTCTCTCTCTCTCTCTCTCTCTCTCTCTCTCTCTCTCTCTCTCTCTCTCTCTCTCTCTCTCTCTCTCTCTCTCTCTCTCTCTCTCTCTCTCTCTCTCTCTCTCTCTCTCTCTCTCTCTCTCTCTCTCTCTCTCTCTCTCTCTCTCTCTCTCTCTCTCTCTCTCTCTCTCTCTCTCTCTCTCTCTCTCTCTCTCTCTCTCTCTCTCTCTCTCTCTCTCTCTCTCTCTCTCTCTCTCTCTCTCTCTCTCTCTCTCTCTCTCTCCGTCTCTCTTTCTCTCTCCGTGACTTCACCTAACCTTGTCTGACCACCGTGTAGTTCGATGTTGAAGTGGAGGTCACTCTCATTATATGCATGCTTGGAGATCAGGTCCAATTGGTATACGATAATGCTGGACTATTTGCACGCGTCACATGCCATCCCCTTTCTCTCGCACGGAATCATGGATCTTTGAATGTCACTATCATTATCACAGGAAAGGTAACGCCTCTCTGTGTATTTAGAATGTCGTTATCTTGGTACCTAAGTTACATAATTATGGCTTTGACTTTGGCGTTAGGTATATTGTCCCACTACTGCATGTTGCCATACCAAAATTTCGGGTACATGTAGTTTTAAAATCAGCAGTTCGCACGTTTTTCATGTCTGCCAGCCTGCCGTTACTGTATGTCGCCACATGTGCTGTATTTCTGCATGCTGCGTTCTTGTGATTCTTTCTGCAGCATTGTCCTGACGGCAGTGACGCACGCACTGTAGTGTTACAGTAATGCGTTTTCCTGCATTCTCATATGACTCATATGAGTCGACTATCGCGTTCGCATTATCCTGTCTGGTATCTCACCTCAGTTTTTACTTTTTAGGACATGCCACACTTCTTTTTCAAACACACTCATTATCTTCATGTACTTTTTTTAACGCCTCTTATACGGGCAATCACAGAACATGATTTCACTGGCCTGACGCAACAACCAGGGAGTCGTATTATGCGACTCCCTGGCAACAACTAAAGAAAAAGCAAAATATAACAAACCAATTTTTATATATTTTTTATCTTCATGTACTGCAATGTACCAGTACCTCTGCTGATGAGCTCTAAGTCTAATGTCAGGACTCAGTAGTGGAACGAAACAGCTGTCGTGGCGGTCTGGCGTTATCGATACCTCCGACTCGAGACAGAATTGTCCCGGAGCCACTATGGTGGTGATCCTCAAGGGAAGTGGGTTGCAGAGAGCGTATTGTGGAGTTGTCGTGTCAGAGGCGAATGGGCTATCCCTCAACGTCAGTGGCTTGTACATGCATCTCGGGATAATAATAAACTTTTATGGACCAGCTGTACGAGTTAGTTTCGATCCCTGGAATCGAAATTTTTATTTTAAAGTTCTGCCCAATTGTGAATTTTCCCCTAAATGTACATACGTACTCTGTTTCTGGAGTACCGTTTGGTTGGCATAATGCTGCTCCATGCGCATCAGCTGTTTAATCCTGTTCGTAGAAGCAAACGCACCATACTAAACACAACATCGCGAACGTCGGTGCATATACAATCATGTAGCATGAAGTTTACGTGTAACTAAACCTCCCTAATAGAATAGTACTACAGTTGGAATTTCGATAAAATGAATACCGGTGGATCGATGGTTGTCCTGCAATATGCACTCCACCATTCAACAAAGTATTCTATGACGCAGTTGAATGACGCACTTCGACTAAATCCGCAGGTGTGCAGCGTGGTCCTGGGAACCACATGCCACTTCCCGGAGGTGCGGTCATCGCCACAACGTACTATGAAAAGACTCAGCACTTCTTTGGACTGCACGTTCAGTCGAACACTTCGCTACATCCGATACGAGGATCCCTAGGAGAATATGGGTTCCAGACGTCCAGAAACTCCTTTCCGTCTCGGCTAGTGTTGTGATGTCGCTAGGGTAGCGTGCTTGTACCAGTGTAGTGATAGTCAGCTCTACCAGCCCTCAACTCCTTGGCTAAATCAGCAGAGGAGGCTCGAGGGTACGAACGGTTGTTGGGGTGACTCCTTCGGGTTGCACGTACCCAGCGTTCCTGCTAAAGTCGTGGCCAAAGAAATCCTACCCGTGAGCTGAAAGCAGCGCCAAGGCTCATGCGGCACCTGCGACCCTCGGATGAGTTTTTGGACTTACAGACTGTGCACGATGTGGAAATGGAAGCTCCACTATTTTGACTACTAGCTAGTAGTGGGCTTGAAGTTTTTGGCTACGACTGCACATGTATTTAACACGGTACGCTGAAAGCCAGGGAGTTACTGTAACTCAAGTAATTAGTGCACTCTTTCTCCTCTCCCTGCTTGCAAGTTGACGTGATGACGATAGGTGCAGCTAGAGTCATGGAAGGGAGTAGGCACAACCAGATCAGATATTATTTGGTCGTCGCCATCTTCCTTTCAGTCTTCAACTGGGCTGTTTTGGCCAACCCACACCAAGGTGATCCGCTGAAATACGTCACAGCTTTCCCAATTAAACCTGTTACTCCGAACATGTACTTTGGCCGGCCCAACACCGCACCGAAACTTCTCAACGAGGCCGTCATGTTCCGAGAAAACAACCGAAGCAAGTTCACTCTCCATCTCATGTACATCGTCAAAAAGGTATCTAATATATCAACGTACTTGGATGTTGCAGTGTACGACATAAGTTATATGCGAGGTCAAACCTGGCGATTGTTTGAGCGTGAAATTAACCTGGTTTCAACAATAGGACCGAGGTGTTCCTCTTCGCCGTTCAGTATACCGAGCATAGCTGTGTCTCCATCCAAGCATCAGGTAATTCTACACGGTTTTGGTCCTGGTGAATGTGCCAACCTGCTTCTGGTGTACCAGGACAGAAAGACCAGAGTCATTGGAGCGGACCAGACACCAGGGAAAAACCACATCGGCAATTTTGGATCTGTTCTAATCACCATTCCCGTGCCAAGTCTGCTGGTAAGAAAGTTAAACCTGTCGGCATCCACGTTCTACCTCATATCCTTGGGGGGATGTTCGTGGGAAGTCTTTGTTCGATCCAAGGGGCTTTGCGCACAATCGTCTAGTAGCTTGCATCGTCTTCTTGTACAGGATTATGTGGCCGGGGAGTGGGAATTTGTTCAGACGAGCGGAATCAAGAAACCGAAAGGTTCACTTTTCACCGGACTCTACCCTGATGACGATAATTTAATACTGATTTTCGGCGGGATAAGTCAATATGCAAGCCCTAAAGCAAACACCAGCCTATTCACCATGGTTATCCAGAGATTCGACGTTTTCACGTCAACTTGGATCCAGCTGAAAACCAATACCATACATTATGACTTGTCAGGACCGAGCGAATATGTCAAACGTATAGAGAGCGTATCGTATGTACGGGCATCACGAAGGTGGGTGACCATATATTGGTCTTGGTCACGTTTATTGATTTCTTGCAGTATTGGGGAAACGGCAGTAAACTGCGCAAGGCCCTTTACTCCACAATCCTCCTTATTCTTCTCTATTGGTGACACCTTCCAACTGTCGTTCGGACAGGGAAATGTATTCCTTGTGAGGAAAAATTCCGGGATCATAAAGACCATCATTTCAGAAGTCTATGAAGCAAACAAAACCATTCAACGGTTGGATTTTGTTGACATAAAAGCACAAATGCCACAGCATTTTCCTGGTTTTGCAACTACCAGCGCTGCCACGACGCCAGCCATTCTGGTTCTCACCAGCACAGTTCGGACACGGACTTATGTGTTTTTTGGATCCGCTGGGAACACCGCGCTATTTTCCGCGATGTCTACGTGGATCTTAGAAACACGATCGGGAACGACGGGCTTTAGGTACACTCTCTTTCACCCAAGGCCTGGGCCTGATATTCCTCAACGCATCTTCCATACTGTTACCTTAATGACAAACAGCACCGCCATATTGTACGGTGGTTCAAGTGTAGGTGTGCTCAGTTTTCGTGTTGAGATGGATCCTTATCCCTGGTGCTTTAACCTTCAGCAACACTTCTGGACTAAAGCTACTTTCACCACTGGCAACGTTCCCACTGCCAGAGCGCGACACGTCTCATACCGATACAACACAACTGCCATGATTATACACGGTGGCGTACATGTACATGTAGAACAGACAAGCTCAGTACATCACGACAGGATCCTAGGTGATTTATGGGTGTTCATCGTTGATGATGAAGATCAATGTCAAGGCCGATGGCACAACCTCACAGCTCATGTCAAGAAAGGACATCTCCCAAGACAATACAGTCACACTGCCACACCTACAGATGGCGGAGTTATTCTATATGGGGGAGCATATCCAACATCTCCTGTGCTCAGACCTTCTGTGCTCACGTTCCTTTGTATACGATCACTGAGCGAAGTGCTGGTCCACGATATCCTCATTAGTCCAAGCATCCCTACTCGTATTGGTCACAGTCTGTCGTATTTCAACTCTGATTTGATCTTACTAGGCGGTGAGCAACATGAAGGTCGTGGTCCAAGGGTGACAACAGCTAAATGGGCATTACTGATATCTTTCCGAACAAATGTCACTTCTACGGTGGCTACTTGGACTAGATTCTTCCAATCCATAATATCGGGTCATACTGTACTGGGTGATACGGTATTCGGTGGCGATGTAATCAATCCCAGGGAACTTAGCCACTTTAGTATTCTCAACACCACTGGACTGTGTCCTATTGGACATGAACGAGATCAAAACAACACCTGCCACCCATGTGCCATTGGGTATTACTCAGCCAGCCTTCAACAACAATGTACAAAATGCAACCAATCACTGACAACCAGCAGTGTGGCATCCAGTCATTGTGTACCCGAGGGCCCGTGCAAGCCACACATCTGTAACCATGGTAACTGTATCGTCGACGAAGTCAACTTCAAATATATCTGTGTATGCCAATTCGGATATCTTCCCGATGATGACTGCAAGACACCATCCATCTACCTGGCCTTGATGGCAGCTCTTGTTTTCACGTCCACTCTAACTATACTCACCATTGCTCTCATTCAGTTCTTGAGGAAGAGGAGAGCCCTCAATGCCAAGGAACTTGAATTAGTCAAGACCAACCGTGACCTCTACCGTTCCAAACGAAAACTTAGTCAACTTGATCATGGAACATACATTGCCTGGTCGGATATGAAGATCAAGAAACAACTCGCTACTGGGAGATTCAGTAAAGTATTACTAGCAGAGTTAGGCGATATCACTGTTGTGGTTAAACGACTACCAACATTCGTTGCCACTGCATCACCCGATGACGCCTTTATCCGAGAAGCTGAAGTTCTTCGTACTTTACGTCACCCCAATATTGTCATGTTCTTGGGAGCTGGAAGGGACAAAAGATCAGGCTGCCCTTTTCTGGTGATGGAGTATTTAAGACGAGGCTCACTCTACGATGTTATCCATGGTGAATCCAAAGTGATTGAACACATCGATCGCCTTCGCTTTTCCCTGGATGCTGCACGTGGAATCAAGTACCTGCACAGTACAAGTCCTCCAAGAATTCATCGTGATATCAAGTCAGCCAACATGCTGGTCAGTGATAAATGGGTGGTGAAAGTAGCTGACATGGAGACAACACGATTTCTTGCAATCCTCCGGGCTAACACTGATCCAAAGGAGACCTCACCCAGTGCTGCGAACGGAGAAATGGATCGTCCTACACGTACTACATCCTTCACAAGCCAGGAATCTGATCTGCTGACAACACCCCTTCTAGCTACCACAGTGCTCAGTGATGACAGCCCTGGTATTACTCCCTGCCAGGACAGGCATAGAGACACAGAGGGTATGACATCACGTATTGGAATGACGTGTGGAGTAGGCACTGATCGCTGGAGATCACCTGAATCTATCAAGAAGAATCTCTACACGGAGAAACACGATGTTTACAGGTAAGCATCAAGAACAGATTGAGACCCAGAATAAATTTTATACTTTTTTAAGAAGATTCCCGAGAAGCAAAGCCTCTCGAATCCTTCAAGTAATATAAATACAAAAGCAGAACACTGCTTATATCCGCAAACCTGTGAGAGCTCGATCTAAAAATTATTTTCATGTAAGCCCAGCCCTGTAGATGTGCAATGTCCACACACAGTGCTGACTTGGGCACCCAAGCACTAGAGGATACTTTGATGTGTATAGTTCAACCTTCGTTTCCACATTCTGAGCAGAGTTATTGACACTTCCAAGGTCCAGGAGATAAAAAATATCCACCTTTTTGCTTTGAAAGATCTGATCTACTGTATATCCAAGCCAAGGGCAAATGACTTGGATGGCAAACATGTACATGCATGTAGGGTATTAAATACATGTCAATTATAAATAATAATAAATTTAAATAATCCATTGCACCCCAGAAAGGAGTGTTGTATCCTTGTGTTCTGTCTTGCCCCCAGGACTCCCACTCCCAGAATGATCCCTACCTAGCCTGGATTTGCATGGGACATTTTGACCTGTATTTGAAAGCTCCCAAATTGAGCTCAGCCCTAGAACCCCAGGTTCCTCCTACTATGGATGCAACTTTTAACCACCTCTGCCCCACCGAGGTCTAGTCCATCTTGGCTCGAAATATTTCTGGAAGCAAATCAGATACGCATGTAAGCATGCCAGGAGTTTCCAAGGCAATACACCTGAAACCCTATGCATGTTTGAACCTCCGTACACTTCTTATCCCCTAATCTTCACATTCTTTATTTCCATGCAGCTTTGGCGTGGTGATGTGGGAGCTGAGCACTCGTCAGATACCCTATGGACATCTGCACAACTCAGATGATGTACTTGATGAAATTGCAGGTGGTAGCAAACTGATCTTTCCACCCAGCATCCGCTATGCATATCGTCATCTTGCTGAACAGTGCATCAAGACGGATCTTGAAGAACGACCATCTATGCATCGCGTAGTCCACGAGTTGACCTCACAATTGGATTCCTTTTGAATTGAACCAGCACCAGTACGGATGTTTGTAGTCCAGGAGTGCACCTCGCAACTAGATCCCATTTTGAATCTCACAAGGTGCATTGGGTCTTCAACAAGCGTGCACCATGGCTTTGCGTGTATCGTGGTGATGATCACGCATCCTGCCAGGACGCACGAACTGTTACTTTATAATAGCAAAGCACACAAAATCACAATGTGTTAGCCACTTCACCCAACCTTGACTGACAACCGTGTATGTCTGTTGAAGCGGAGGTAACTCTCACTATATGCATGCTTGGAGATCAGGTCCAAGTCACGATAGTGTTGGACTATTTGCACGCGTCACATGCCAGCAGCCCCTTCCCCTTTTTTCTCTGGCACGGAATCATGGATTTTTGAATGTCACTATCATTATCACAGAAAAAGTAGATGTAAATGGAAAACCCCTATCTGCGTATTTAGTTGTTGTTTTGGCACCTAACATGTCACGTGATGTGGCTTTGACTTTGGCATTAGCCTGATTAGGTATACTACGGTATTCCACTGTTGCAGGTTGCTATACTTGAAATTAATGCATTGTTCAGTGTTGCAGTTCGCACGTTTTGGCTTCATGTCTGCCGTTTCTTGTTTGTCACCACCTGTGCTGCTTTTCTCCATGTTGCGTTCTTGCAGCATTGTCCTCACGCACGCAACTAGTGTAACTGTATTGTGCTGATCCATGCGTTTTCCTGCATTCTGATAGGAGTCGATTATCCACACCTGACCGGCAGTGGGGAAAGTGGTCATACACGTTCTACACAATCAGTGTCACACTCTCACCCATTTACCATTGTGGAAAACTCGCCTTCCACTGGTAGAGTGTGTTACTGCCTACGGGACAGCTGGCGCTTTTCCTGCCGACTTGATGCTTGACCCACTCACGATTATTTCTCACGCCATTAGTTCTAGTTCTTCCTAATATCCGCTTGCATGCTGACCAACAAGAGTCTTATTCTTCAGCCAACGTTTACAACAATAGTGATCATGTCACATTGTGGTCCTTTAATTTTAATCCTTGGCTCTCCATCTGAGTCTTGATTGATATTATATTTTCTAGGATTCTCCAGAGGCAAATGGATGCCTATCAAAGGGAGTCTCCTGGGGAAAGGAAGTGAAGGAAGCTGTTATGAGAGAGGGAAGAAGGGATATGACAAGGTGAAAAAATAAAAATAATACCAACAGGAACAGCAGAAGCTAAAATTTGGTATACCTTGCACAGAATACTTGTGATGCAGATAGTGTCTACGCCCAGCAACAGTAAAATCGGCTAGCGGATGTCAGACAGCGGATTTCTTCTGGCAGCTTATTCCAGGCAACACTTAGACAAAATAGAGGGGATTGAGTGAAGTATGTACCAGACTTAGGGAGAATCATAGCGACAACTATAGGATCGGGAAAAAGGGAAATGTTGCAACAATGATGGATATCGGGAAAAACATGCTGGAAGTCGACGCTTCCGTTTACTCTTTAGGTAAGCTCTTGCTGCTACAGCCTGAAATTTGTCAAGCGTTGCTGACAGTATTACACTAAGGGAAAAATCCATATGGGGACAGCATATTCAAGAAGTGGACGGACATAGCCTTTATACAGTAAATTCGTTGTACAGTGAGGGAGAAAATTTGACACGTGGCATAAGAGAAATACGCGGCCACGGAATTGATTGATAATGCTTTATATGTGTGCAGTAAGATTAAATGATGGGGTCAGGATGATACCCAAGTGTCGATGTGAAGAAGGCTGAGACAGTAACGTATCATGCATCACTATAGCTCCATAATTACGACCTAGTACTGTACTCATGGGTCTGCGAAATGGTACGTGGGCACGCTTGGTGGTGCTGAACAGAGCCTCAGCTTTTTCGGACCATTGTAAGCATCTGTCAACGTTCTGTTGTAGGGAGCTGATGTGAGTGGCTATAGGAATGGTAGGAGCGGTCACACAAACCATATTGGAGTCGTCAGCAAACAGGGTGAGATCACTGGTGCTGGGAATGGCAGCCAACGAATTGATGGAGAGGTTCAAACAGAAGGGGACCAAGATGAGAGCACTGTGGAACTCCAGCAGTGAGCGGCAAAGTATATGATTGCGCTGTGGCAACTAACAGTTTCTTGTACTGACATGGAGCGACCCACAAGAAAATTTGTGAACCATGCTAATGACGCTTGAGAGCACCATCTGGATAGGCACGCAGCTGTATGGCGGTTGCTTGTGCGGTCAAAAGCTTTGGAGAAATCCAAGAAGACAGCATCACAGAGGGATCGACTATCAAAGGCACGGGTTACAGTGGACATGACATACATAAGTTGGTCTACTGTGCTTCGGTGTGGGCGAAAGCCATTATTGCTTCGGCGATAGCAAATCATTGTGTCCTACAAAAGAGTATACTTGGCGACTACTAAAGATTCTTAAACTTTGGCTACACCATTCAATAGGGAGATAGGCCTGTAGTTGGAGGGGTCTGCTCGACTACCTTTTCCCTTGTATATTGGGATTGCTGTAGCAGATTTCCATTCCCTGGGCTGAGATTGAGAGGTGATACAGCGGTTAAAGAGGGCAGTCAGTGATGGCGCTAACAGCTCGGCAATCTCTCGCAAGATCCTGTTGGAAATGCGGCTAGAGGTGGACTTATAGATGCTGAGCTTAGATAATGCGTGGGTGACTTCTACAACGGTGAGTGTTCGGATGTGGAAACGCTCTTTCGGGGTTGGCAATACGAAGTCGGTCTAATATTAACTCTACAGTAGTATAAAGTCGCGGATGAAAACGTGTGGGTGGGTGTGCCAAGATGTGCAGCAATTACACAAAAACAATCAACGTCATTCTCTTTCCCGGATTTAGGCCGAGTAAAAAAAATTACTAGATGATCGTCCTTTTTTTTGGAAAAATCGGGGAGGGCGGGAGGATTTTATTTTTATTTTTTTACTTTTTACCCTCTCATGCACACAGTGTACACAACAACATCAAGGTTTTTTTTCTCTTTTTTTCTTTTTTTTTCTTTTTTTCTTTTTCTTTCTTCAGCAGATCGATACTGACGTTGTGATATACTAGTAGTATGTGGTCCATATAGTAAAGAAAGTATTAAACAAAGCGTGCACATGTTTCCTGCATCCGCGATCGGTAAAAAACCAACGATTTCGGCAAAAACTCACGATTTAAAAAATAAAATATTTCTTGGGGCGCTGACAAAAACTGGGGCGGACGGGGACGATCATCTAGCTTTTTTTTTTACTTGGCCTTATGTTGAGTGCATGAAAGGCGTCCTCGCATCTTGAAACATGCACATTAGAATCACTATCCAAATACTTCACCCTTGTCTAGTGTACTACGTATGTTATTTTAGGAGCGTGTACGGGTTCCAGACGTCCATCAACTCCTTTCTGCCGGGTTTTTCAGCTACTAGCATTCAAATTTTAATTATGTATTGTTGTGTTGACACTCGATCGACCACCAAGCGGATGTACGAAACCACGTCATTCCGGAAGAAATCTTCGCATGAACACTTCTTGCTCGTACTGCAAGCTATTTGAACGTATGATTATTATGATGATGCATCGATGATGGTTCGACCACGTTCGACAGGTTGATTTATTTCGCAAATCCAAACGGGACTTTCTTCCCAATAACAAGCCACAGGCACCGATAGCGTGTGCTTTATGTATTGTTGGGGTGGTGGTGGATTGCCTTGCCTGGTTCCTGTGCGGTTGCTGCGAATGGGCTTTACTTAGAGAACGACAAAAGGTTTCGACGGCTCAGATTCGGAACAGAACATTTCACGTGCGTCCCGATGCAGGTTGCATCATGGTGTGGAGTAAGGACAAAGTGATCGGATCTTCGATCGCACATGTTTTGTTATCTGTCGTCAGCTGGGCTGTACTGATTACAGCACGCCAAGGTGATCCAGTGGAACACCTTAAAGCTTGGCCAATTCGACCAGTTCCGGATGCCATTCTTCTAGAGAGTGGCGAATATGTAACCACTGCGAAAGTGCTAATCGACGAGGCTGTCATGTTTCGAGAAAACAACCGAAGTAAGTACACTCCGCATCTGATGTACATCTACAAATATGTACGCAATGGAAAACTCTACTTTGAAGTGTCGGTATACGATATAAGCCACGCAAGCGGTCAAACCTGGAGAGTGTTTGAGCGTGAAATTAGCCTGATCGAAACTATCGGACCAAAGTGTTCTTCCTCGCGGATCAGTATGCCGAGCATAGCTGTGTCTCCATCCAAGCATCAGGTAATTCTACACGGTTTTGGTCCTGGCGAATGTGCCAACCTGCTTCTAGTGTATGAGGACAGAAAAACCAGAGTCATTAGAACACAGCAGCAGCAGCAGGGGACTCCCCTAGTAAGCGAGTTTGGATCTGCTCTGGTCACCATCCCTATAATAGACCCTCTCCGTGGGAGTTATTCAGACGAAATGTTTTACCTGGTGTCTTATGGAGGTTGTTCGTCGAAATTCTATTCTGCAATCACACGCCGCTGCACGCATTCATCCAATAACTTGCATCGTTTACTCGTACGGGGACACGTCTTCGGCGAGTGGGAGTACATTGATTTTGAGGTGAAGAGAAGCAAGAACCCAGAATCTTCAGTATTCTCGAGGCTCTTCCATGACAGTGCGAATTCCATGCTGTTGTTTGGTGGAGTGAAGCGGAATGAAAGCACCACACCTTTGAATTTCGGAATCTGGAGATTCAACCTCTCATCGTTGGTCTGGATAGAGGTGATCAACTTAGATATCTCGTTAAAATATGATAAAGATGTAATGGTAGCCAGCTACAAGGCAGCGAAGAGCAAGTTCATTATTTATTGGCCACGCAAGGGAACAATAATTTGTTGCGATGTATTGCGAAGCCTTGCCAGCTGTGCAAAGCCAGTAACTGGAAAACGCTTGATGGCCTACACTCATTCTCAGTTTCTTAACTACCAAATTTCGTCTGGCCCTAGACGTGTCTTTTTCGTTGGAAGAACACACCGTATCATATCGACTATAGTGTATAAAATCCTCCAACAGACCACAAAAGTTGACCAAATGGAGTTATCCCATGTATATAAAGTTTCAGAAGATTTCCTTGGTTTTAAAACTGGTTCCTCTGCGAAGAAAGTTCCCGGCATCCTAGTACCGTCCAGTTCCGTTGGCAAGATGAGATACGTGTTCTTTGGAGTGGGAACACCTCTACCGTCTGGTCCAACTGCCATGGCTGTATGGATATTACAAAACGTACCTGGGTCCAGGACCGATTTTGTCTACACACTGCTCTACCCAAGCCCAGCGCCTTCTATCCCTCGACGCAAATGTCATACGGTAACTTTGGTGGGGAACGACACAGCAATCCTGTACGGAGGCAGACAACAGGTTGCCAACAGGTTCTCACCTACTGGTGCTGTGAAAAAGACCGACCCAAATCCCTGGTGCTATTCTCTGCAGATGCACGCTTGGAAGAAAGGTAATGTCACTGCGTCTAGCTTCCCGCCTCCCCGAACACAGCACATAGCATTCCAATACAACTCAACCACCATTGTTGTGCACGGTGGACTAGTCAGCAAGGAATTTCGCGATTTGGCTGTACGTGACTTGTGGATGTTCGTCCTTGACGATGCAGAGCGCTGCCAGGGAAGGTGGCACAACCTTACAGCTCATGTGAAGACCGGCAAACTACCAAAACAATATGGTCATTCAGTAACACGTGCTGAAAATGGAGTATTTCTCTATGGAGGTGAGTTTCAATCACCTTCCATACTTACCTTCCTTGCCGTACATTCACCAAGCCAAGTGGTAGTCCAGCCTATTCCGATTAGCCCCAGTATTCCAAATCGCTGGGACCATAGTCTTTCATATTTCAGCAATGATTTGATTCTACTGGGTGGCATGCACAGGATTTGTGGCACTCCGACGGAGGCAGAATGGGCACTGCTGATGTCCGTACAAACAAATGAAACTTCTACCGTGGTTACCTGGACAAAATTCTTTGACGTCGAAATCTTGTCACATACTGTGCTTCGGGATAAGATTTTTGGTGGTTTTAGAATTACTGTCAATGACACGGAACAAGTCAGCATTCTCAACACTACTGGATTGTGTCCTATTGGACATGCACGAGATCGACACAATGCATGTCATCCATGTGCCATTGGGTATTACTCAGCCACTCTTCAACAAGAGTGTACTATATGCAAACAGTCACTAACAACCACTGCCGAGGCAGCAGCTTACTGTGTTTCGAAAGGCCCATGCGATAGGGACACTTGCAATGGACATGGTGACTGTATCGGCGATTATATCACCTTCAAACATCTATGTGTTTGCAAATTTGGATATCTTCCCGATGATGACTGCAAGACACCATCCATCTACCTGGCCCTGATGGCTGCTTTTGTTTTCACGTCCACTCTAACTATACTCACCATTGCTCTCATTCAGTTCTTCAGAAAGAGGAGAGCCCTCAATGCAAAGGAAATTGAATTAGTCAAAACAAACCGTGATCTCTACCGTTCCAACCGAAAACTCAGTCAACTTGATCATGGAACATGCATTGCCTGGTCGGATCTGGAGATCAAGAAACAACTCGCTACTGGGAGATTCAGTAAAGTGATACTTGCAAAGTTAGGCGATATCACTGTGGTGGTTAAACAACTACCAAAATTCGTTGCCACTGCATCACCCGATGACGCCTTTATCCGAGAAGCTGAAGTTCTTCGAACATTACGTCACCCCAATATCGTCATGTTCTTTGGAGCTGGAAGGGACACAAGATCGGGTTGCCCTTTTCTGGTGATGGAATATTTAAGACGAGGCTCCCTCTACGATGTTATCCATGATGAATCCAAAGTGATTGAACACATCGATCGCCTTCGCTTTTCCCTGGATGCTGCACGTGGAATCAAGTACCTGCACAGTACAAGTCCTCCAAGAATTCATCGTGATATCAAGTCAGCCAACATGCTGGTCAGTGATAAATGGGTGGTGAAAGTAGCTGACATGGAGACAACACGATTTCTTGCAATCCTCCGGGCTAACACTGATCCAAAGGAGACCTCACCCAGTGCTGCGAACGGAGAAATGGATCGTCCTACACGAACTACATCCTTCACAAGCCAGGAATCTGATCTACTGACAACACCCCTTCTAGCTACCACAGACACAGTGCTCGCTGATGACAGCCATGGTAACACTCAGGACAGGCACAGAGACACAGAGGGTATGACATCACGTATTGGAATGACGTGTGGAGTAGGCACTGATCGCTGGAGATCACCTGAATCTATCAAGAAGAATCTCTACACGGAGAAACACGATGTTTACAGGTAATCATCAAGAACAGGTTTAGACCCAGAATTAACTTAAAATAGCTTCGGTATGCTCACAAACACGTCATGCACACTATCCTAGGCATAACAGTCATTATACTTGCTCAAGAAGATTCCCTAGAGGCAAAGCCTCTCGAATCCTTCAAGTGATACAAAAGCAGAACAGTGCTCATATCCGCAGACCTGTGAGAGCTCGATCTAAAAATTATTTTCATGTAAGCTCAGCCCTGTAGATGTGCAATGTCCACACACAGTGCTGACTTGGGCACCCAAGCACTAGAGGATACTTTGATGTGTATAGTTCGACCTTTCAAACGGTTTCCCCATTCTATTGTGTGTGGTCTATAGCATATTTTTAGTGCCCTCCTAGTAAAGGTGAGGTGCTAACCTACCAGGGCTGTAGTGCAGTGGCACATCTGAGCAGAGTTATTGACACTTCCAAGGTCCAAGAGATAAAAAATCTCTACTTTATTCCTGAAAGGGCTGATCTACTGTATATCCAAGCCAAGGTCAAATGACTTGGATGGCAAACATGTATGCAGGGCATTAAATACATGTAATAGTCCATTGCACCCCAGAATGGAGTGTTATATCCTTGTGTTCTGTCTTGCCTCCTGGGCCCCACTCCTAGAATGATCCCAACCTAGCCTGGATTTGCATGGGACATTTTGACCTGTATTTGGAAGTTCCCATGTTGAGCTCAGCCCTAGAACCCCAGTTTCCTCCTATCATGGATGCAACTTTTAACCACCTCTGCCCCACCGAGGTCTAGTCCATCTTGGCTCGAAATATTTCTAGAAGCAAATCAGATACGCATGTAAGGATGTCAGGAGTTTCCAAGGCAATACACCTGAAACCCTGTGCAAGTTTGAACCTCCATACACTTCTTAACCCGTGATCTTCACCTTCTTTGTTTCCTTGCAGTTTTGGTGTGGTGATGTGGGAGCTGAGCACTCGTCAGATACCCTATGGACATCTGCACAACTCAGATGATGTACTTGATGAAATTGCAGGTGGTAGCAAACTGATCTTTCCACCCAGCATCCGCTATGCCTATCGTCATCTTGCTGAACAGTGCATCAAGACGGATCCTGAAGAACGACCGTGTATGCATCGTGTAGTCCACGAGTTGACCTCACAATTGGATTCCTTTTGAATTGAACCAGCACCAGTACGGATGTTTGTAGTCCAGGAGTGCACCTCGCAACTAGATCCCATTTTGAATCTCACAAGGTGCATTGGGTCTTCAACAAGCGTGCATGCACCATGGCTTTGCGTGTATCGTGGTGGCGATCAGGCATCCTGACGGGACACACGAACTAAGCCAGGCACACAAATTCACAATGTTTTAGCCACTTCACCCAACCTTGACTGAAAACAGTGTACACCGTATATTTCTGTTGAAGTGGACGTAACTCTCACTATAATATGCTTGCTTGAAGATCAGGTCCAATTAGTTACGATAATGCTGGACTATTTGCACGCATCACATGCCGTCCCCGTCCCCTTGTCTCTCGCGCGGAATCATGGATCTTTGAATGTCACTATCATTTTTACACGAAGAGTATCATGTACATGGAGAACCCCTATCTGCGTATATAGTTGTTGTTTTGGCACCTAACATGTCACGTGATGTGGCTTTGACTTTGGCATTAGCCTGATTAGGTATGTTACGGTATTCCACTGTTGCATGTTGATATACTTGAAATTAATTCATTGTTCAGTGTTGCAGTTCGCACGTTTTGGCTTCATGTACATTTTTGTACTTGAGTATGTTGTTTACTGTTTGTCACCACATTATGTCATATGCTGCTTTTCTCAATGTTGCGTTCTTGCAGCATCCTCCTCACGCACGCACCTAGTGTTACTGCATTGTGCTTATCCATGCGTTTTCATGCATTCTGATACTGTAAATATACAAATTTTCTGCAGCTATTTAATTTCGGCTATATTCGGCACCGACCCGAAACGCCTAAATTAAAACGCCGATGAAATTTTTCACAGCATCTGTCGCACTATCATGCCCTCTACCCCACGCCGAAAATAAATCGCCGCCGAAATGTCAAAAATCGTGAAGTGCCGAAATTTTGCAGCGCCGAAATTTTGTATATTTACAGTATGAGTCGAGTATCCACACCTGACCGGCAGTCGGGAAAGTTGGCATACACGTTCTACATAATCAGTGTCACACTCTCACCGATTTACCATTGTGGAAAACTCACCTTCCACAGGTAGGGTGTGTTGGTTACTACTGGGCAGCTGGCGCTTTTCCTGCCGACTTGATGCTTGACCGACTCACGACTACTTCTCACGGCATTAGTTCTAGTTCGTCCTAATAACCGCTTGCTTGCTGACCAACAAGAGTCTTGTTCTTCAGCCAACGTTTACAACAATAGTGATCATTAATTCTTTGCTATCCATCTGACACTTAAAACTATAGTATAAGGTGGCGGATGAGAACGTATGGGTGGGCGTGTCAAGTCGTGCAGCGATTACACACAAAAATCTACCTCATTCTCTTTCCCGGATTTATGTTGAGTGCGTGAAAGCTAAGGCGTCATCGCATCTTGAAACATGCACATTAGAATCACTATCCAAATACTTCTTCCTTGTCTAGTGTACTACGTATGCCATTTAAGGAGCGTGTACGGGTTCCAGACGTCGACGTCCATCAACTACCTTCCGCCCGGCGTTTGTGGATTCTACATGTACTAGCATTCAAAATTTAATACGTATTGTTGTGATAACGCTTGATCGACCACGAAGCGGATGTACGAAACCACGTCATTCCTGAAAACATCTTCGCATGAACACTTCCTGCTCGTACTGCACGTTTTTGAACGTTTGATGATAATTACATGTGTGATGATGATGATGGTTCGACAGGTTGATTTATTTCGCAAATCCAAACGGGACTTACTTCCCAATACCAAGCTACAAGCAAGCATAGCGTGTGCTTTATGTATTGTTGGGGTGGTGGATTGACTTGCCTGTTCCTGTGCGGTGGCTGCGAATATGCTTTACTTAGGGAACAGCAAAGGGTTTCGACGGCTCAGATTCGGAACAGAACATTTCACATGCGTCCCGATGCAGGTAGCATCATGGTGTGGAGTAAGGACAAACCGATCCGATCTTCGATCGCATGTGTTTTGTTATTATTATTTATTATTTAGACTTTATTTGAAGGATTCTCCAAAAGTAAATGGATACTTATCGGGGGAGTTTCCTGGAAGGGTGGATGAGACGAAAGGGAAGTGAAAAGGGAGAAGGGAAAATAGTACTTAGCATTTTTTTCTGCCGTGAGCTGGGCTGTATTGATTACAGCACGCCAAGGTGATCCAATGGGACATGTTTTAGCTTTTCCAATCCGATACAAGGAGAATACATGGGTTCCAGACGTCCAGCCAAGTTGGCTGAACGTCTGGAATCCATGTATTCTCTGAGTTGGCAACTCCTTTCCGTCTCGGCTAGTGTTGTGATGTCGCTAGAGCTAGGGTAGCGTGCTTGTACCAGTGTAGTAATAGTCAGCTCTACCAGCCCTCAACTCCTTGGCCAAATCAGCACAGGAGGCTCGAGGGTACGAACGGTTGTTGGAACACTCCTTCGGGTTACACATACCAAGCGTTCCTGCTAAAGTCGTGGCCAAAGAAATCCGACCCGTGAGCCGAAAACAGCGCCAAGGCTCATGCTGCCCCTGCAGCCCGGCGCCCTCAGATGGTTTTTGGAGTTAAATACAGTGGATGATATGGAAATGGAAGCTCCACTATTTTGACTGCTGGCTAGTAGTGGGTTTGATGTTTTTGGCTACGACTGTACATGTATTTAACACGGTACGCTGAAAGCCAGAGAGTTACAGTAACTCAACAGTTTAAAAAGCAAATAGTGCACTCCTTCTCCTCTCCCTGCTTGCAAGTTGACGTGATGACGATAGGTGCCACTAGAGTCATGGCAGGGATTAGGGACAAACTGATCAGATATTACTTGATCGTCGCCATCTTCCTTTCAGTCTTCAACTGGGCTGTTTTGGCCAACCCACGCCAAGGTGATCCGCTGAAATACGTCACAGCTGGCCTAATTGAACCGGTTAGTCCAGACATGTACCCTGCCCGTTCCCCCATAAAATTACCACCGAAACTTCTCAACGAGGCCGTCATGTTCCGAGAAAATACCCGAAGCAAGTTCACTCTCCATCTCATGTACATCGTCAGAAAGGTAACTTATATATCAACGTACTTGGATGTTGCAGTGTACGACATAAGTTATATGCGAGGTCAAACCTGGCGATTGTTTGAGCGTGAAATTAACCTTTTTTCAACACTGGGGTCGAGGTGTTCCTTTTCGCGGTTCAGTATACCGAGCATAGCTGTGTCTCCATCCAAGCATCAGGTAATTCTACATGGTTTTGGTCCTGGTGAATGTGCCAACCTGCTTCTGGTGTACCAGGACAGAAAAACCAGAGTCATTGGAGCGGAACAGACACCAGGGAAACACCACATCGGCAATTTTGGATCTGTTCTAGTCACCATTCCCGTGCCAAGTCTGCTGGAAAGAAAGTTTAACCTGTCGGCATCGACGTTCTACCTCATCTCCTTGGGGGGGGGATGTTCGTGGGAAGTCTTTGTTCGATCCAAGGAGCTTTGCGCACAGTCGTCTAGTAGCTTGCATCGTCTTCTCGTACAGGATTATGTGGCCGGGGAGTGGGAATTTGTTCAGACGAGCGGAATCAAGAAACTGAAACGTTCACTTTTCACCAGACTCTACCCTGACGACGATAATTTAATACTGATTTTCGGCGGGATAAGTCAATATGCAAGACGTAAAGCAAGCGCCAGCCTGTTCACCATGGTTATCCAGAGATTCGACATTTTTACGTCAACTTGGATCCAGCTGAAAACCAATACCATACATTATGACTTGTCAGGACGGGAGGATTATTTCAAACGTGTGGAGAGCGTATCGTATGTACGGGCATCACGAAGGTGGTTGACCTTATATTGGGCTTGGCCAAGCTTATTCATGTCTTGCAGTATTGGGGAAACGGCAGTAAACTGCGAGAGGCCCGTTACTCCACAATCCTCCGTATTGTTCTATATTGGTGACACCTTCCAACTGTCTTTCGGACAGGGAAATGTATTCCTTGTGAGGACAAATTCCAGGATCATAAAGACCATCATTTCTGAAGTCTATGAAGCAAACAAAACCATTCAGCGGTGGGATTTTGTTGACATAAAAGCACAAATACCACAGCATTTCCCTGGTTTTGCAACTGCCAGCGCTATTTCGACGCCAGCCATTCTGGTTCCCACCGGCACCGTTCGGTCACGGACTTATGTGTTTTTTGGTTCCCCCGGGAACACCGCGCTATTTTCCGCGATGCCTACGTGGATCTTAGAAACACGATCGGGAACGACGGGCTTTCGGTACACTGTCTTTCACCCAAGGCCTGGGCCTGATATTCCTCAACGCATCGGCCATACTGTTACCTTAATGACAAACAGCACCGCCATATTGTACGGTGGTTCAAATGTACATGTTCCCAGTTTGCGTGTGGAGAAGGATCCTTATCCCTGGTGCTTTAACCTTCAGCAACACTTCTGGACTAAAGCTACTTTCACCACTGGCAACGTTCCCACTGCCAGAAAGCAACACGTCTCATTCCGATATAACGCAACTGCCATGATTATACACGGTGGCGTACAAATATACCAGCCGGACGACTTAGGATTTGAACCTAGGATTCTAGGTGAGTTATGGGTGTTCATCGTTGATGATGAAGATCAATGTCAAGGCCGATGGCACAACCTCACAGCTCATGTCAAGAAAGGACATCTCCCAAGACAATACAGTCACACTGCCACACCTACAGATGGCGGAGTTATTCTATATGGGGGAGCATATCCAACATCTCCTGTGCTCAGACCTTCTGTGCTCACGTTCCTTTGTATACGATCACTGAGCGAAGTGCTGGTCCACGATATCCTCATTAGTCCAAGCATCCCTACTCGTATTGGTCACAGTCTGTCGTATTTCAACTCTGATTTGATCTTACTAGGCGGTGAGCAACATGAAGGTCGTGGTCCAAGGGTGACAACAGCTAAATGGGCATTACTGATATCTTTCCGAACAAATGTCACTTCTACGGTGGCTACTTGGACTAGATTCTTCCAATCCATAATATCGGGTCATACTGTACTGGGTGATACGGTATTCGGTGGCGATGTAATCAATCCCAGGGAACTTAGCCACTTTAGTATTCTCAACACCACTGGACTGTGTCCTATTGGACATGAACGAGATCAAAACAACACCTGCCACCCATGTGCCATTGGGTATTACTCAGCCAGCCTTCAACAACAATGTACAAAATGCAACCAATCACTGACAACCAGCAGTGTGGCATCCAGTCATTGTGTACCCGAGGGCCCGTGCAAGCCACACATCTGTAACCATGGTAACTGTATCGTCGACGAAGTCAACTTCAAACATATCTGTGTATGCCAATTCGGATATCTTCCCGATGATGACTGCAAGACACCATCCATCTACCTGGCCTTGATGGCAGCTCTTGTTTTCACGTCCACTCTAACTATACTCACCATTGCTCTCATTCAGTTCTTGAGGAAGAGGAGAGCCCTCAATGCCAAGGAACTTGAATTAGTCAAGACCAACCGTGACCTCTACCGTTCCAAACGAAAACTTAGTCAACTTGATCATGGAACATACATTGCCTGGTCGGATATGAAGATCAAGAAACAACTCGCTACTGGGAGATTCAGTAAAGTATTACTAGCAGAGTTAGGCGATATCACTGTTGTGGTTAAACGACTACCAACATTCGTTGCCACTGCATCACCCGATGACGCCTTTATCCGAGAAGCTGAAGTTCTTCGTACTTTACGTCACCCCAATATTGTCATGTTCTTGGGAGCTGGAAGGGACAAAAGATCAGGCTGCCCTTTTCTGGTGATGGAGTATTTAAGACGAGGCTCACTCTACGATGTTATCCATGGTGAATCCAAGGTGATTGAACACATCGATCGCCTTCGCTTTTCCCTGGATGCTGCACGTGGAATCAAGTACCTGCACAGTACAAGTCCTCCAAGAATTCATCGTGATATCAAGTCAGCCAACATGCTGGTCAGTGATAAATGGGTGGTGAAAGTAGCTGACATGGAGACAACACGATTTCTTGCAATCCTCCGGGCTAACACTGATCCAAAGGAGACCTCACCCAGTGCTGCGAACGGAGAAATGGATCGTCCTACACGAAC